GCTAAACAACTTTTCTTACAATTACTTTTAAGAACTTTTTGTCCACCAAGAACAGATTCATTTTCAACAATATCTCTTAAACTGCGTTCTTCAAGGTTAATATCAGCTATTTTGAATATTTTTGAATCACATTTCTCAAATTGATTACGAGCATAGAGACGATTAATTGTTCCACCTCTACAACCAGTTTTATACATTCCATTGATTTCTTTGATAATCAAACCTGGAACATTTGGTGGATCAGCACGAGATCTATTCATTAATGGCACTGGAACTCTCACATTGTCGCCAAGTGTAACAAGTGGCAAATGACGATGACTATCACCAATCATTTTAGCAGCAGATGCTTCTTGATTTACATCAACAACTGAACGTACTGAGTCACTGACAATTCTTTCTTTATGCATACGATCGTACGATCTTCTACTTTTGTTAAACATATGATCAAAAGATTCTTTTTTTTATACGTATGAAAATGTTAGTTGTGATACTAAAAATTGAAATTAAATAACATACATTTTATATCTTTAGATCTTATACTAATATACGTATAATTTTCTAATAAAAAGTTCATTAAAACGATTTTGATTAATTATCGAAAAAGGCTGACCATTATTGAAAGTTGTGGGCCAACTATTTCCGACCACTTTGTATATTGAACGGTCCATTTACATACTAGCCAAGAAAATTTTGGCCAATTTACAAACAAGCAATAAGACCGGGTCTATTTATAAAGTGGCCGGCCATTTTATAAACGGACCAATTTTCCAAATTGACCACAACATATAAATAGCTGTATTGTTCACGAATGTAGTTTGGAGTTTTTTGTTACCGAATAAAGAGGACAAGGTGAAAAATTATGAAGACAGATTTACTACTTAACAACTCTTTCCGATACTATGTACGTACGAAGAAGCACTTATTCGATGTGTTTCGTCTTCTGAATGAGGGTGCCAACAGTATAATAGTTGGCCTCGTACGGACTGGACTCAAAACTTATTGAGTTCACGTGGTAACATTTTTTTGTCATAACTCTTCACAATCTATTGGATGTTGCTTAAATGACTTTGGCTTGATTCTGGTGGAAAATCACATCTTCAGATCCAGCGTCAATTCAGCTTCAGGAACGATACAAATGTTACTACGATAATCAGTGTGGTCCGTAATCTATGTTTCCATGTGGTTTCGACATTTGAAAATGTAACTGTAAAAAGTTATATTGGTCTCCAAAAAATCAGTATCATCAGCAATGGTAATGTGATAAAAAGTTCGGGTTTGAGTAGATTCGTAATCAAATGATTGTTTTATATTATTTGATTGGTTTTATCTGCCAAATATGCAAAACATTAACGATTAAATTGTATTCTTTCTGTCAATGGTTTTCTAAACGTCGTCTGGAAATCTAATAGAAAATCTTGTTATGACTGGCTCTGACTTTGATAACCTTATAAGTTTAAACTACATGGTTTTCACAAGTTCAAAGCGAACATCAAAGAAAATTTAAACTATCACGTCACTTTATTGTTAGATAGAGAAATTATTCTCTATCTAATGAGTGTATTTAAAGAGTTTATTTTATCGCTGAAGTTTTAATAAAGATGCTATTTGTCAACTCAAAATTCAGGTTTTTTCGAATCACATTATGAAAGTGAAAATTAAAGAGAAATAATATCATCAAACGATTCAGCATGTTCGAAAACCTCTAGACTCTGAGGTTTGGGTGATCGACACAGACTTGCTATAAACTGCATCGATTTTTATTGAATAGGAAATAGAAACTGACAGCAACAAAATGCTTGTAGATAATGAACGTGCTGCTACTGGACGACTGCTGGAGCATACAGAAATTTGCAAAGTCCATCCAATTATTTACTCAATCTATTGGACTGGACTCAAAATTTTGAGTCCATACCGAGCCCTAGTAGGTAGATGCCCCTGCTTTAAACGCCATGAATCTCCTAAGGAATAAAGTTTGCTGAAAACAATTTGAGGAAGTACTCTATCAAAAATCTTTTCAAAATCAAATAATAGCATAATAGAATCAATGCCTTTCTCTAAACTATTCAAAATATGTGTTAACAAAAGGTGTGTTAGAAACAACAATGCATCGACTATGCCCAGTTTGGATCGCAATCCAAACTGTAGCTGGAAAATTTTGTTTGTCGAGATAAGCTAATAGCTGATCATATACGAATCTCTCAGAAATGTTACGCACAATGGATAATAATGAAACCGATCTATAATTATTAATCAATGCACTTCGGATCTTTCTTATGCATGGGTACCACGTCCACAAGTTTCCTACTATCAGGTTTCTATCGATTAATATTGAAAATAACGTTCTTCAAATAAGCTTTTCAATTAATGTACTTCTAGACAGAGGATAATGTCACCAGAACAGTTTGCTAGTAAAATGTTTTTGCATTTCAAAACGCGCCTTAGCTCTGTAACATGTCTCGTTTTAAAGATCTGTAGAAATATCGACAACTATTTTTCGATTCTGCAAAGTTGAAGTGCGCCAAAAGTAAGCCGCAGTTAATTCAGAAAAGTTACATCAATTTATTTTTGGCTTTATTACACATCATTGGATGCAGTTTTGCAAACTGATCCCGAATATTACAATTTTAGCCTTGCCAAACAAAGTTTTGGGTGAAAAAATGCCAAAAAACTGGAAGGACTCTATTTTCTCCAACAGAACTCAACTTCTATGGAATAAAAATATCATATTCCGAATCGGGATGGAAAGCTGTGTCGACTCATGGGTATTTCGAAATTTCTAGTTTATTTTTCAAATTTTTCCTGAAAATCTCGATGAATTTCCAACGCGAAAATTCGAAAAAAATTAAAGTAGTCGAATAGGATGGATAGAGATACCCATGAGTCGATACAGCTTTCCATCGCGATTCTGAATATGATATTTTTATTGCACAGAAGTTGGAGAAAATTGAGAATTACAGGCAGAATTCCGACTTTTTCTCCTCAGATTTTAGAAAAAATGAATTTTATCAGCAGTGGAGAGGACTTTCAAAAAAAAGTGATTTATAACTTTTTTGACCATGCAAAGATGAATCGAACGTCGTATAATTGAAGCCTTCATCTTTCACCAGGAAAAACTAGATACATTTGCAAAAATATGTGGCGCCTTTTCAGCAGGTTTGGTGCCGAAATTCTTATTCTGACGGGTTTTTTGCGATAAGGCTCTAAATGACATTTCTAGAGACAGATTCACACGAAGAATCAGAAAAAATTATTGGTGACTTCTAAAACTCAAACGGAGCAGAGATTTTTAAAAGAAGTGAGCGTTTTTTCCAAAATAAGTTTCTTCCAGTTTTTTTGCATTTTTTCTCCCAAAACTTTGTTTGGTAAAGCTAAAACTGTAATATTCATGATCAGCGTGTAAAACTGCATTGAATGATGTGTAATAAAGCCAAAAATATACTGATGTAACGTTTTTGATTAGCTCCGTCTTAGTTGCCAATATTTCTATCAGATAACGATTGTTAGGATAAAATGCTTTTTTTCTAATCTTTTTTTAATTTTATTATGTCGTATGGGGATTTATTGATATACAGGAACACTAATTGATGGCTTAACTTTTGAGCATTCATGGTGTTATATTACAAATAAGTGAAGATACGCGCAAGAAAGTTGAAAAAATCTGTGCGATATGATTTCAGTAATATCATAATAAAATATTTGTTAATTGAAATACAATCTACGAAAAAAATAGATAGAACAATATAAAAAAATAGACAAAAGGGCTAGCGATGGCTGTAATACCAAGTATGAGGTGCAATGTCCTTTACGTCAGGATCAAAACTAACAATACCGCTATTAAAGTCGCTTAACATGGAAGCGGTTTTGTAGTTTCGACTTTTTGTGTTCAGTAATTTCCAAGCAATAGACTGTAGTTCTGTCATTTGATCTTTGTTTTCGGCGGTCCAGCTGCCATAATTATTTTTAAAGATGGAGCCATCAGGCGCATGTGGAATAGGTGTGTCAACTGTTGCAAGGTGTGTGTTAACAATGATCAAAGGTTTGCTTTTGACAACGGCAGTCATATAACCATGAGGCACAGGATAGTACTTCGAGCTCACTCTGCTACTTTTCTTCACGTCTTGACTACGAAAAGCAAGTCCATATAATTTTGGTCAGTTTAGGAAGAAAAAGGTTGCAGCTGTTTAAAAGTACACTGGATGGAGTAAACGATAAATATGTAGTTTTTGTACAAGAGACAAATCAGTTGATTTTTCAATGAATTTCTGTAGTCGTCTGCTTAAGCAAACATATCGTAGGATAGCTCTTAAAATTTACTGCAGACAGATTTTCGGAGGTTTTCTAAAAATCCATCTTAAGAGCATATATTATTGCAGAGTTCTTTTGACGTTCTAACTATTCAATCTACTCTTCTGATCCTATCCTGAGAGTTCCAAACGGTTTTGTTGGCTTTTGATTAAAGTATTTTACTTTTGTATAGTTTGTAGCTAAACATTTTCTTAAAACTGAGTTCCACTACGTTTACCCAACTTTTCCTGAAAAAACACATTGTCACAAGATTTAGCATGCTCGATAACCCATGTTTCTATACACTTCAGAGGTTATCCGCAGGCACCTAATACCAGTCTCCAGACTCCCAGCAAAACTGATGTTACGTCTAAAACTACAGAGGCTAAACCTACTGATTAAGGTATCATGCATTACTTACTTTGTAGGATATTCGATTTGGTTACGTGCGATACTAAAACAAACTTCTTGTTGGAACATCCCTTATTTTTATTTCCCAATCGGAAAATAAGACAGGATATTTATTGGGAAAGATGTATTTCCTGATTAAAAAATGGTGCGATACTATGCATTGTACTCTTCTTAACACTCGTTTTGACTTTCTGAGTTCCAACATCTCAATCGAAACCCAACGAAAAGAAAAGAAACTGAATAATTCTTTTTTGCCACGTGTCAAAAGCCGTTAGGTTGTCCTACCCAATGGTTAAAATTAGAGAAAAGTTCTGTAGAAACTCTAGAATTGTTGATACCTCTCATCATTCCACAGTGGACTTTATGAAAGAAATCATTGTGTCGTGCGTTTTCTATTGCCGTTTTCGGTATGTGTTTTTGTTTCATCTTAATCAAACTATAGGTAGTATGTATACAACATTTCTATAATATCAAATCTACTGGAAGCGCGTCAAATTCACATAGCAACGCGTAAACCAATGCGGTTTTTCGTGCTCTTTCCAACGAAACCAATCAGAACAGGCGCAGAAGCGTTATAAAATGCGCTGAAAGATTTCAAAGTAGACATGTTGAAATATTTCGAATGGGATAGATTTCGCTTTCCCGATTAGGACATATTTCCCAATCGGAAAATACATCTTTCTTGAACAGGAAATATTTTCCGTTCGAGGCATAGCTCTTGGAGACTGACTGTCTGCTTCATTTTCCAGGTGACCCTACCGATCTTGAAACTCTGGACTTGCCAGTTTCTAGCAAGTTTCATGTTCAAAATGATACGTAATAGAAAAATGTATGTTTTCTTGTTTGAGAGAAAAAGGGGCTACACAAGCCAGGACTGTCTACTGTATTGTATACGTAGGATTATTTTAAGCGCCCTACTGCTATCAAAGCGCTGCGTTTAATTGTTATGTTACACACATTCTGTAGAGAATTTTAGGGGCTATCCAAGGATATGTTTACTTTGTCGTCTACGCGAAAGAAACATGAGAAACACATATTTTATCTAACGTATAGCTGATCTTTGAGGGATGAGCTATTGACAGCCTGTTGGTGACGAATTACTCGGATTTTGATTACTGACGGTAGGAAAAATACTTAAATTGGCTGAGAAAGCGTTTCTACTATTTACAGAATTGTGTTTGGATAAAAAATGAAGTGGATCGATTATCAATCGTATGCGATCCTCTCCTTTGTTCTCATAGAAAAGAAAATGACACACTATACGAAGGATCAATAATTTTTCAAGCTATTTTGGCTTCCTTTGTACTTTTAACCGTTATATAACCTTTGTACTTTAATTTGTTAATGGATAATAAAATGAATAATAAAATAAAAAAGAAATGAATAATGATGATGTTATTCATTTTATCATCCATTAACAAATCAAAGTACAAAAGTTTTATAAAGGTTTTAACTTTTAACTTTTATATAACTTTTGTACTCAGATTTGTTAATGGATGATAAAATGAATAATGATGATAAACTATGTAAAGCCTCAGAAAAAAGATGGTCATACAATATGTTGATTTTTCTTACGATTATTTGTGAAGTTTTTTTTCTTGTGAATAATATTTGCTGATTCACATACATTTCAACACAGGCACGGCATTTCTTTCGTACGATGATAAATAGTACGAGATTATACACAATGAGTATGTATATATAGTCTATCAGAGCGAATAAAGTCGTTAAAATTTCAAAACATACATCATTAAACTCACTCATCATATAGTCTATTATCAAAAACAAAGCAAGTATACTATTATTTCATCGAAAACACTTTAGAACTGGACACTCCATAGAGAACTTAAAGACGTATGGATTTTAGAGGACGAACTGTCACTAAAAAAAAGATTTGCCTAATATTACAAAGTTGACAGATATTTGTGTTTCACATATCCGAAATAAATCTATAAATTAAAATACGTTAAAACATGCGCCTATGACTAGGTTTTTGAATGACATTTTTACATATGCTTTAATATATCTTTTCTTTTTTTATTAGCAGATCTTCTACAAACATGAAATATTTACTTTGTACCTTGGCTTTATTTATAAGCATTGTAACCGTTTACAGTCGTAATGAGTAAGTTTTAGAAAAGTTATACGATATTTATCAAAATAGCGATTTTCATGTGCTTTGAGTTTCGTTCATTGTGCTTACCTTCGTACGTTGACTAAAACCTGTATTTCTATTCAATAAAGTGGCTTCTTCGGCTTCTATCTTTTTATGCAACGCAATAAGATAGTTAATTCAGCCAATGTAGCTTTTAAGCAATGTTTGCTTGGGCAACTCCAACTCCGGAGTTGAGGAATTTTTTGGTAGAGTTGGAGTTGAGATTTTAACAGGTTTGAGTTGAATTTTTGAATTTTTATTCTCAAGTCCGTTTTGCATTTTCAGAAATATTCAGTAGTTGTAAACTGATCTTCTAAACGATTGAATGGCTGTATTCACAAGTAAATTCGGAAGTTCTTTGAGCTTTCCTGTCGGAAAAAGCTCATAAACGTCCAAAATCCTGCTAAAAACCGAAAAATCTTCCTTACAAAAGTGAAGTAACCGGAGTTGAACGGGAGTTGAGATTTTTGTTGAGAGAGTTGGAGGTGGAGTTGAAAGTCAGCGGAGTTGCCCAGCTCTGAAGCAATCTAATCAGAAGCTATTCATGCTGTATCCTAGTGATAAGAATCTTTTATTTTTTGGTTCCTCACTCAAAAAAAATCGATAAATGGAATCGCTTTTAAATGTTTCTTTTATCATTTTTAAGTTTTCCATAGCCAACTATACGCTGTATTTTTCAACGGTTGTGCCTTACCGTTTTTACTGTAGTTAACTTGGTGTCTGCCATACTACGTACACACAAATAACTACGCATTTTTGTCTTGTAGTATATTGGATTTTCCATCAAGAGAAGAAGTAATAATTTATTCTTTGTATTTTATAGGTGTGAATGTGAAGCACGTACCGATACAACAGTACCTGTTAAAGTAAAAGATTTTGGTGTAATTGATCAATGTGGTGTTGGGTTATTAAGTACATGTTCATGTACTGATAAAACAATGGTTGAATGCGGTGCGAATTGTGAAAAAAAAGTACAAGAATGGGTGAAATCTGGATGCTCTGGTGCACTTTTGGGTATAAAACGTGGAACAATTATGAGTTATCATCATGGAGATTGTCAAAAAGGGTACGGTACCAAAAAATATACATGTCCTTGAGAGAAAATTTACAACCATGCTTTAGTCCACTTTTTTAATAACATTTACACTTGGACAAATAAATGATTTATTGAATAAATACTATTTCAAAAAGAAATGTACATTTGTATTATGTTTTATCCAACAAATAAGAGACAAAAGCAAATTTTACCAGGCCTTTAAAAAGACAGCGAGCAAACTCCTACTCCGAATTACTATCCTTTACAAATTATAATGTTTTGTCTATAATTATAATGTATCTGCCCAAGAAAACTGGTAAAGCACAATGAACTGTTTCTGAATTAAATAATCAAGTATTATTACTCACATCATTCAACTGAGAAATGGTTCAATAAGGCAGATGAAAATCTTTTATGCTGCCGAATATAAACTTGAATAGTTTTCTATCACTTTCTTAGTCATGAACTAGTAATCCAAATAACTACATAAAAACACACTTAAAACCACAACTATTTATATATATTATAAAAATTTACAAATATTTGAGCATACGAGAAACAGATGGAAAAGAGTACAGAATATAACATTACGTAAGAAGAATAGAAAAGAACATGACATCAGAAAGGACAAAGAATAGTCACATATGATAACATGTGCTGTTCTTATGTTATAGCAACATGATGATACATAGTGCTGATCGAAACATGACGTCCGTTCAGCAGAAAGGAAAAGAATAGTCACGTTTCCAAACATATGGTCTCTTTATGTCCTCATGACATAATAAAACCTGTCCTGTTCCAGAAAGAGTTAAGAATCAGCTTCAAAAGGTACGTTAAGAAAAGCTCTAAGTTTGTGAAAAAAAGCTTTTATCTTAAGGAAAGTTTATTATTCTAATGTCGCTTATTTTGGCGGAATAAACTAAAATGTAAAACATTTAAATATTTTATAGTATAATGCAGAATTGGCTATTTTTGGTGTAATGGCAACACTGCCATAATACGGATCAAATATCAGGAAGTGTAAAACTGAATGTCTTTTCAAAGTAATACGAATCCATGAAAAAGGTTGTTCAAGGTAGTATGAAATCTTTCTAAATTTTTCTAAACTTTATTATTCAATCAAAAGAGTACACGCGAGAAAACCTATTATAGTACTGAACATTCAATGGTTAAAATAAATATACGTATAAAGCAGTAACATATGTGTGAGAGGATGTGTATGATGGAGGAGAAAATGGTAAAAGAGAAGAAAAGCAAGTAGAGAGAGAACGAGTAAAATTTCAAGAAATGAGCGATAAACATATAAAATTCACGGTTTCCCGTGGTTTGGTTTATTGATTGATGGTCCCGTGATAGTGAAATACTCCAAGTGATTAATGGTTTTTTCCAAACACGGTTACAGGTAGTTTTCGATGCTGATCATGAATGCCTCCGTTCTCTTATGGACAGAAGCTATTGAATGCGGCATATACTAATGCGTTTAGATGCGTTAATCAACACTGAACCCGTTTGGCTGCGTCCGAAACTAACGCGTCAGAAACCTACGAAAATAAACGGGTCTTGATGCATCCAAAAGACGAACGCGTTTGGATGCGTCAATGCATCTCAAATGCATTTGGATGCACCAAAGACTAATGCGGCAGAACGCTGTCAAAATAGATGCGTCATATAAACATATTCAATAGACAACGAGAGCATCAGCTCACTAAGACTGAAACAGGATTCCAAACAATTAGAAATAGATCACAAAAGAGAACGGTGTAACAATTTATACCACATTTTTAACAGAATCTCTCATACGTTACATTTTCAGGTTTGTTGAACTAAATGGGCGTTCTGTGTTCCATTTAGTGACGAAAATAGTTGCATAAGTCGCATGGTAGTTCGTGTCATTCGCACCTATTCAACATACGAATTATTGAATGACCACTTGGATAAAATAAGACATTTAAGTGAATTGAATAGTCATCCTCAAACATTTGTGGATATACTAATTGGTGAATTCATAAATAAACAT